GGGAAGGTTTCCTTGCAGCAAGTGTAATGTTTTGAATAAATCACCTGAGCTGTCAGAAGGCTGAGAGCACAGGGAAGCTCACAGCATCCCTTGCACTGGGGCTGCTCTTCAGATGCTCTGATGCTCTTCTGCTGGGCAGGAGGTTGGTGCTGGCCCAGGACACCACAGGTGATGTAAGTCTCTACTCACTCCTCTGCACCCAGAGAGGTGTCACTGGAGTCAAAGGCTGAGAGCACAGGGAAGCTCACAGCATCCCTTGCACTGGGGCTGCTCTTCAGATGCTCTGATGCTCTTCTGCTGGGCAGGAGGTTGGTGCTGGCCCAGGACACCACAGGTGATGTAAGTCTCTACTCACTCCCCTGCACCCTGAGAGGTGTCACTGGAGTCACGCTGGTCCTTGGCATGATGCATAGGGGAACATGTGGGACTTTATCCCTGTGACTTTCTGAAAGAGAAAATTTGCACACTGACACAAAACAGTCTTGGAATATTAAAATCCCAGGCTCAAAACACCCATAAATCTGGAACTGAGGGAATTAGTGTTGCCTGCCTGGCTGGCAGCAGTGGTTTTCTAGCTCTGAGCTCCCTTTGCTGCATCCAGGGGATGCTCAGTGATTGCTGCCATCCAGCAGCACTGTGGCTCCTGGCCACGTCCCACCAGGCTGTCCTGCTTGGCTCTTATAAAGGACAGAGCTTGTGATCAAGTTGTTGAAGAGTGTCAGTGCATGTGCATGTCATGGCACAATTAAATTTGTCTAATGCAGTCCATATGTGCTCCCTGCAGCACAGCGTGGCTGGAGGAGCGTGGGATGAAATGAGAAACCTCTGCTCTGTGGTGGAAAGGATCCTCCTCAAAGGGAGGTCAGGCAAGGTGATCTCCAGAGGTCCCTTCCAACCTGATCACCACGGGATCTGTGGTTCCCAGGTCCTGCTCTGTGCTGTGTGACAAGGCCGAAGTCAGGACAAGCAGAAAGCCCTGCAGTGACCCCACAAAACGTGATGCTAAAGGCCAGTGTAGTTTCACAACAGACTCCTTTATGAAACAGGAGTAAACGGAGAATATGTGTCACAGATGGAGATTTACACAGCAACATGACCACTTTATTTTCCCTTAACTGTGCCTTGACCAGGATATACAACAGGGTTGGCTTTGCCATCTGCTCTCCACCCTGTGCTGCAGCTCCTCCAGCTGTGGAAGGAGGCAAGGAGGAGGGAAGGGAGGTGGGCAGCATTCCCTGTATCCTCACTATCCCTCTGAATCCATCCCCCTGGGAACACCACCACAGTGCTCCCTGTCACTGATGTCCATGCTCTTTGTCCCCAGGTTCCCTTCTCCGGGCGGAGGATGCACCACACCTGCCCATGTCTCCCAGGCCTGATCTGTGTAAGGACTTCCAGCAAATTCAAATGTTTACCAGACTTCAGAAAAGAAGATGTGTTTTTTTAGCAGGAGCTGCTCTGCGCTGGAAAGAGCCACTCGGTGTTTTCTTTTTCTCGTTGTTGTGACGAACAAGGTACTTGCCAGGGGAAAACCCTTCACCACACTTTCCTGCCTCACCAACTTCAACTGGAGATGAGATACTGTGCTGTTGTGGCCAAGGTTTTCAGGAGGGACTCGCACCGGTGGATGCTTTCATTTTTGGGGTAGCAAAAATGACATCTGCTAAAGCAAAACTGCTTTCTGAGAGCAGCAGCTTGACCATTTCTGAACCATTTCATGGTTCCAGCTTAGCCCCAGAATGAAAACATCTGAATTTATTGTCAGTTTCAGAAAATTTTGGCCACGTTTTCACACTTTGGAATACCTGAATTGAACTGAGAGCTGAGTAAGTGCATAGTGTGAAGCATATGACGGTCGCCAAAAAAACTGTATTTATGTTGCATTTCATATCTTTATTAATATAATTGTATTTGTAAGTTAGGCACATCTCTAGGGTAAAGGTTTAACCAATAGATGTAGTTTTTACACTTTTTAAAAGTGGCAGGTGGAACCAAAGCATTTCAATATTCAAAGCGTTAAAAGAGTTTGTTATTTTAGTATTCTAAGATGAGAAGTTGTTGTTACTTGAACTTGTGTAAAACTACCTGATCATCTCAGACTATGTATTAAGATGTAGTTTATATTTAAAAAAAACAACCCAAGGAACCCTGAAGTTTACTGTAATGGGCTGCCTGACTTCTTGTATATGTATCAAATTTGCTGTGTAAAAATTCTGTATCAGAATAATGGCAGTATATGATTTGATTTATTTTAATATTATAACATTATTTTGTCACTGTGGTTTTTCCTTTTTATTCAATGTAATCTGTTATCCCACACTCGATTCACCCAAGCTAGCAGAGCTCCTTATGGATAGCTTAGCAAAAGATTATGTGCCTCTGGCTGTTTTTAGGGAAACTTGGAGTTTACAAGGCATGAACTTCTCAATCAAGCTGCAGTCTAGGATGATGGAGGAATCCTGGTGCAGCTAATATGAGAGGTTTTTCTTGGCTCATGCCTCAAAGGATCAACTTTAGCCCAGCAAACGTAAGATTTGTGGGTTTTCTATGAAATACTGTGTGATTTCATATTTACTTGTCAGTCCCCAGAGCTGGAATTCCAATAGTTTGTGTGAGTTTCACACGTTTCTTGCTCTCAGACATGCAAACATATGCTGGAATTGGAAAAGTGAAGTCATTCATCTTTCAACAATCACTGCTTTGCTGCTGGTGACGATGGGGGGTTGGAGTAGTTAACACACTTGTATCAAGGCAAAGACCTGTATTACTTAGGAGGAGAAACATCCCAGTGAGTTTACCAGGTGCCTTCCACTGGGCTCCACAGCCTCCCTGAGGCAACAGAAAGGAACAACTGGGCTAGTTATTTTGCTGGATCCTCATGGATCCTGCACATGTTAGGAAAATAAAAGTCTTGAGAGAGAATCGCATCCTTCTGGCTCAAGACAGCCCAACCCCAGGGCTCCCACTCCAATGCCTTTGTTCTTTACTTCACCCTTTGCAGTGGTGATACAGCAGCTGTGCAAGTGTCCACAGAAGGAAAACCAACCAAAAAACCCAAACAAACAAACAGATTGATGTGCCACCAAATAGTAATTTTACATGTGATTTGCATTGGCGTGATCAGGTACAAAGTGCCTGTATTAGATCTGAAGTCTCAGAGGGGCTCACTGCTAACCCAAAGGGTCACCTCTGCTGGTGAAGGACCAGCTCATTTCTGTGTCACTGCCAATAAGCACTGCAGAAATTCCCATAACTTGGATTGAAAAAGAAGCCCCAAACCTGATCCTACCACTACCACTTCATAGTGGGGCTCCCCAAACACCCTGGGCACCCACAGAGTCTGGGTCTGCAGAGGAGGAACACACAGGGAACCTTGGGGGTTGCTTTTCTGTCCATGTCTATCAATGTAAAATCAGTTTAATACCATGGACTTCTATTTATACTCCAAGGGAAAATCGAGAAGGAAAATAGAAGCAGCACAAGTGTGTATGAGTCCCATCTCTTGTCCCATTTTTTTTCCACCAAAGCACAAAAGATGAACCATAGCAGGAAACACCAGCTCTGCTCCTCATCTCCCGCTGGCATAAATCACCAGTGACTGCACTGAAGGTAGTAACCCTGGTTTATATCATTGTAAATGAGTGGACAATTATATCTGAGGATTGCCTCAGACCTGCCAAACTGAGCTCCTAGGAGAGTTTATCAGACCAGAGCAGAGCAACTCTGTAGTTGCAATTTTTGACAATTAACTTGTGGGGTTAAGCATTTCTCTGGGCAATGAGAACAGCCCCAATTACACGAGTTCAAAGTTCACATCATCTAGAGCAGGTGGAAGTTCTCATGTCCTGCAGCCACTCTTGGACAGGGCATTTAGAAGGTGCAGCTTTGAGAGAGATGTTATCCCCTACCTGTCCTCGAGAGGCTTCTCCACACCCTCCCAGCTGCTGTTGGAGCACAGCTGCTGACGTCGGTGAGCTAAAGACAAAACCTCCCTGTCCTACATCCCCAATATATTAACTTGGCAATAATTATTACAATTCCCCTTTTTAGTAATTCAATTTTCGTTAACTGACACTCACAATGAAGGTTAGTTGATTTGAGAGATCATTTTGGAAGGAAGATTAAGTTTTTGCATCCCAATTATTTCCTAAACTCTGCCCTAATCAATTATCTTTTCTCCAATCCTAGGGGAGATTTCTTCACCCAAGCATACCTGAAAAGTTCCTTTAATTTCTTTCTGCAGTGGAAGGGGCTGGGGGGGAACCCTTTACCTTTGCTTTACAGTGATAATAGGTAAACCACTGACCATGAAAAGTATTTCAAAGTGTAAATGGCCATGCAAACCCCTCTCCTTTTCCCTGGAGCCAGGTTTTAACTTGTGGAGCACAGAAAACAACACCATGTGGCTGATGGAAAAGGTGGATAGCCTCAAGCCAGCCCTGCCATAAAGGTTTTCTGTAGCCTCCAGTGCTGCTCAGTTTGCCAAAGCATCACCCTGGCAATAATCCCAGGCCAGGAACAACATCCTCATCTGCCTGGGAGGAAGGGAAAGGGACAGGTCCTTGCAGGAGAAATCAGATGAGAAAAGAGAACAGAACTTGTGCAGTCCTTGGTGAAGGGGAAAAACCTCATTCCCCAGCACACATAGCTGGTGAAGAGAGAGCCTGGTTCAAACACTTCCCTTTATTCACTCCACTTAGGAGATCTGTGCCAACGTTTGGTTTAATTTGATTAATATTGCAGTAATATTATTAATTATTAATAGAAATGTGCACACTAATTTTGAATATTAGATGAATATTGATATTAGAGATATGCTATAGAATAATGTTGATATCCCACCACACTCGAGGCGTTTCCATGTTTATTACCAGATTTTGGGTTAGCAGAGAGCCATGGCAGGAAAGGACACCACCATGGGTAATGAGCTGCTGCCTTAATTTGATTCCACGCTCATTAGGAGAGGTGAAGTAAGGTGTTTTGGGTTTGTGGGTGCACAGCTGGCTGAGCCTGCACACACCTGTGAGCCTCAGGGGCTGGAGGGAAGGCTCTGCTGCTCAGCAGGAGAAAGCCCAGCTGAAACTCAGCTTCATCTGCATTCTCCTGCCCACAATTTCCCCCTGGGAAATTTTGTCACTTCAAAAAAAAGGGCTTAGAGAGAGGAAGCTGATGCAAAATAGACTCTCTTGGTTGTGTGGCAAGAGAGACTCAGATCTGAATGTGTCCTTAGCAAGGAGACAGGTCACCCTGACCACAGCTCTGGTTTTATAGAAGCAGTAGCTGAAAGGAGGTTAATTAAAGCAAGGCTGAAGGTTACCATGGTGGTTGAGAGGCCAGAATGGAACAACACATACCTGCATGGAGAGCTCTTAAGGTAAAAAGTGGGATTATGGTTGGGTTTATTCCTTTGTAGGTGGGTTGAAGGCATTAGACTTGTTGTTACCCCAAAGCTCTGTGTTTGAGGATCTTATGTCTTTTCAAGAGGTACTTTGCTAATTTGTCTCATCAGCACAATAGACCAAAATGAAGTTTGATAACAGCAAGTATGACCACAGACTGAGGTCCTTGCTGGTGCCTCCCCCTGCCCCAGTAGCTCTCTCTCATTTGCGATTTCAGCACAGATGGATATTCAAAAGAACCAGAAGGTGCTAAGAATCCCTTGATTTAAACAAGATGTCTCAGGAATTTGATCTTGACAATGTGTAACGTATTTTCCAGAAGGAATTAGAAAATTGCAGGAAGAGAAAAGATTGTGCAAATACAAGAGGATTTTGCTAATAGCAAAATCAATGTGCCTTTCTCTGTTACACAGATATGAAATGGCAAAACAGCAGGGGTTCAGCTATTAGACTAATCAATAATTCTGAGCACAGGAATTGAGATGAGTTTAATGCACATAAAGCAAATCACCTATGGTTTCTCAAGGAGAGTCTTGAGTGCAGGCAGACCCAGCCCAATGCAGTAGGACACATTTCAATGACTTGGCAGGGCAGGTTCCCCCATAGAACACATCTACCTTGGGGGATGCTGGCAGATTTTGGGCCACTCTGCCCAGATATTAGGGCTGGGAAAGGCTGAATGTGGGGGGCTGGAGCTGAGTAAGTCTGGTGCACTGAAGATGAGGATGGATGGCAGCTTGTTTTGTGGCAAGGAGTACAGTCCAGGGTGACAACAAAGTGTGCAGGAGAGGAGGAATGAGCAATATAGCACATCTTTAAAGACCCCTGTGTTTCCAAAAGGGCAGAATGGGAGGCAGCTTAGTGTGGAGGGAAAATGAAGGTATGCACCACGACGTAGAGACAGAAGGTCTCCTCTGCAAATCCCAGCTGACATGGGAAACTGGTTAATTGTGTGCCAGAAGTGCCCAGAGCATCCCAGACTTTGTACCATAGCACCAGACATCAGTGTGTCACAGGCATCTCACAGATTATGTACAGTAGGTGTCTG